TTAGCTCATTTATAGCAACTTTCGAACTCTCGTATTTTATATTTGTCTAATTAGCAAGTACTTAAAAAATTTAAATTATCACTTTAACTTTGAGTAAAAAAATATTTTAATGAATGCGTCTACAGATTTTTCTACCATTCACAGTCTAATTTTGTCTTAACTTCATACAAAATGTTTCGTATTATGGAAAAAATCTGAATATTTACACTTGGGGGTGTGCCTGAATATATAGCACCGAATTATGATTCAAATGAATTTTACTGCCTCGATTTGACCAAATTTTGGGTTTCCGATTTTAGATTTATTCATGTACCTTGTACTTTAATGTATGTTAGCACATGAGTCCGAAAGTTATTCGTCATGTAATTATGAGGCCAAAAGTTTCGATGGATGAAAGCCATTATTTGATTTAAAGTAACGTTTGGCATCACAATCTTTAGATTTTTTTAATAGTTACTTCACAATTAATAATACAATTATGACTTTTTCTTGTAGGTTTATTTCTCTTATTTTTTATTAAAATAACTGCTATTAAGTTAATTTTAGCTTGGGTTGTAAGTTTGAAAGTTGTTTTCTACGATTCTGTGAGGCCAAAGTCTACAAAAGATGAAAATAATTTTAGGTTAGATAGTTCAACACTCTGCCAATTATTTATTTTTATTTATACTATTTTCGTGTGGTATAGCAAGAATAATGGTCAACAATCAAGTATTTTAGGCTCAAAAAACGGCAGATCAAATTCCTGATAATATTAACACTAATAAGTCTAAAAATTTAACCAAATATTGACTTTTTTAAAGTGTTATAGGTTTACTGACGAGGTGGCTGAGGAAGGGGATGAACCCTGAAACTGGTATCACCAAAATAGTATAAATAAAAATAAATAATTGGTTGATTGCAGAACTACCTAACCCAACTTTATACCCACGCTAATATGGAAACAAACATATCAAAATAATTGGCTCATTAATAGCAACTTTGGACCTGTCGTCCTTTATATTTGGCTAAGTAGCAAGTATTTAAAAAATGTAAATTATCACTTTATCTTTGAATAAAAAATATTTTTATGAATGCGTCTACAGATACTTCTACCATTCACAGTCTAATTTTGTTTTAACTTCATACAAAATGTTTCGTATTATGGAAAAAATCTGAATATTTACACTTGGGGGTGTGCCTGAATATATAGCACCGAATATTGATTCACATGAATTTTACTGCCTCGATTTGACCAAATTTTGGGTTTCCGATTTTAGATTTATTCATGTACCTTGTACTTTAATGTATGTTAGCACATGAGTCCGAAAGTTATTCGTCATGTAATTATGAGGCCAAAAGTTTCAATGGATGAAAGCCATTATTTGATTTAAAGTAACTTTTGGCATCACAATCTTTAGATTTTTTTAATAGTTACTTCATAATTAATAACACAATTATGACTTTTTCTTGTAGGTTTATTTCTCTTATTTGTTATTAAAATAACTGCTATTAAGTTAATTTTAGCTTGGGTTGTAAGTTTGAAAGTTGTTTTCTACGATTCTGTGAGGCCGAATTGTACAAAAGATGAAAATAATTTTAGGCTAGATAGTTCACCACTCTGCCAATTATTTATTTTTATTTATACTATTTTGGTGTGGTATAGCAATAATAATGGTCAACAATCAAGGATTTTACAATTTACTTCTTTTATCGCATCCCCTTTGCTCCAGCCTTACTCCGCTCTTTTCCACTCCTTTCATCCACCCTGCTTCTCTTCCATCTTCATTCAATATTTCTGTTATACTTTCCTTTTTTCTTTAATTTCGCCCTAGTCTTGTAGCATGTATTCTAAAGTCTCTTGCACTCCTCCACACATCCTAAATATTCTTCTGCTTTCGCTTAAGCAAAAGTTATTGTTTCTTTCTTCATGTCCACCCCTCTGTCTAGCAGTTACTTTTTCTCCTTCGTTCTTTCTCTCTCTAGGTACCTTGGCGTTGTTTCTGATATTATCTTTAGACGAGTATAACCCCCATTGTACCTAGGTTCCTTTATACTCGCCATTGGACATATTTGTCCTTGTTGCCACTTGCGAGGAGACCTTTACTTTTCCACATCTCATTCATTATTTCACACAGTCTTTCAATCAAATCATCCGTTCTAAACGTCCATACATCATTTACCAATCCATTCCTCCCTGGTCTTTTCCCTCTTTTCGACCCTCCAACTTGTTTCCATATTTTTTCCACTGTAATGTTCGGCCATTCTTTCTCTCTCAGCATTCTCGGTTTAACTCTTTTGCGCTACAGTACTCTCATTTCCACTCATTAGTTTCATGAAATGGTACTTCCATTGTATTATTAGCATTTCTTCACTGATCATGTTTTTGTTTTTCCTTATTTTGGTTCTTGCTCTGATTTTATGGCTTTTATTTTATTTCTTCTTTCGGAATCTCTTCTTTTTTTGATTCACACCGACCTGTTATTATTTCTTGCTGGACAGTACTCTTCTTTTTTATCTTTCCCTTTTTACACCTTCGTAAACATTTTCTTTCTTATGTTTTTAAATCTCTGCATCTATTAACCCGCCATTTGTTTCTCTTTTGTGATTTCTTCGTTATAAATGCTTTTCTTATTGCTGCTTTTTCAGTTGTTATTTTTAATTCTTCTATTTTATTTTAGCTTACTTCTTTTGAATTCAATTTCCAACATCTTTTATAATGCTCAGTTCCCTTCTCCTTTTTATCTACTTCCTTATTTGTGACTCCGACTTTTCTACTTCTATCCCTCAATTTTACTTCTTATAGCATGTGGTCGGAATCAATTCTTTCTCCTAATTTAAATGTTTCGGCTTCTTCATCAGCTACTGGGTTACATATACAGGTAAATTCTTTATCTTCATCCCCCTCCTTCACCCCATTCAAGACTACCAAACTCTTTCTTCAATTAATTTCCATAGAAATTTTCTGTCTTTATTTAAAATTTTATCTTTAGATTTTTCTGTGCGTTCTCCCCTATATTCCCTGCTTTTGTTGCCTATTTTGGCGTTAAAACCATCTCCTATCAGAAGAAATTCTTCGTTAGACTCTTCAATTTTTTCTTAAATTTTTTTCTTCAAATTTTTTGTAATTCCAATGCAATACAATATGCAAATTCTTTTTTTCTTTTATCTTTCTTTCCACTATGCGTTCCACTTCTATTACCCGCTCTTCGATTTGTTTTATATCTTTTGTCACCCCTGTTATGGATCCCCCACTTGCTTCACCCTCAACTTTTCCTTTTTCCTTGTTCAATTTATTCCCCTTACTCTTTAGTATCCATGTTTCTGTTAATCACACAAAATCAAAATTTTATGTACTCATTAAATAAATTCTGTTTATTTTTCTTAATAATGCAATATTTCAAACAAGCAATTTTAAACCCCATTTGTCCTCCCCGCTTTTCTTTTCCATTCCCTCTCTATTTTTTTTATAATTACCACCCCTTCTCTTTATGCTTCCTTGATCAGTTAATTCCAACTCTCTTTGTAAAATTTTTCATCCAAATTTCCCTGTCTTCATTCCATGTCCTCAACTTTCCGTTTCTTACATTCTATACCTGTTGTGTATCTTTTTTTTTTCTTTCTTACTCTCTAACTTCTTTCTGAATTTTTGGCTCTTCTACTGTCCAATTGTTTTCAGTTGCTTAATATTTTCTTTAATTTTAGATAAATTTCCAACATACTTCTGGAAATTACTACCTTCAAACAACTTCCCGTATTTATACAAAACCTAGTCATAATATTAGCTTTGTTAAGTAAATCATCTATGCAACCAACTTTTATACTTAACAATCTTTTCTCAAACCAAAATTGTTAAAATTACTGTTAAAAGATGTCACTGGATATGCGTGAGTCCAAATGTTACGTTGAATGTGTGAGTCACTTCGGCCTCAAAAGCTACGGCGAGGCCGAAACTTCCAATTTGAGCCCAAAAGTATATATACGTGAGAGAATTTGAGGTCGAAAGTTATCATTAACATATATATAATATAATAAAAAAAATAACTTCAGAGAATCAGGATTTATCATTTATCTGAGAAACTGAATTAGTTGGATTGTGTTTCAGAAGCAAGGGAAGTTCTGTCTAAATAACCTTAGATTTCTTTTAGTTGACGCCTACTGCAATGCATTTAAAAAAGGTCAATGTACTTCGGTCAGTATTACAGAATAAATAAAGTTTTAACGCCAAGTCACAAAAATGATAAGGATAAGATTTGATTTATAATAGCGTATAATATCTTAATGACATTATATCATTATTGGATTTTTAGTAAATGTGATGGCTTAAAGTTTATCACACAATGTGTGTACTTGAGCAGGATGTGGTGACTAAACAACGTGAATCACCATAGTTTATTTCCAGGCTATTTGCATGTTATCTCCACTTACAACAGTTACAACCATTGCATTGGTGTGTTGTCAATTTTACGGTAGCATACGAGTTTTTCCACTTTGACTGCAGAGTTATCAGTTTTTTTTTCTCAGAGCGGTATTAATTATAATTAATTATAAATTTAACATGCAAAAACTCATTTTTGGATTTGGAAACAAGTATGTGACATTTTAAATGGTATGTTTGTATATGGAAACACACTTGACAAAAACTTCGTCCGTAAATACTCAAATGAGTTTTTTACTTCTACAAACGCAAACAAAGCTCGGCGACAAAGAAACGTCATTTGCATTTAAATTTTCATGAAATTTGTATATTATATATTATAATTTATGATTATAAGCTATACACAGACTAGGGTTTAGCCACAATTCAAAATTCAATGTGGTTGAAACTTGGGTTAACACATGTACAAGTAGTGTCACTTGATACGTTATATAAATATTTAAATCTGTCACATGTGCCATTCTGTTTTGATCTTTAAATACAGTATCTAAAGCTTTAAAATTTGTACAAATTAAGTATAAACTACTATTACGAATCCATTTTGTCGCTAAGTTTTGTGTGCGATTTTACATGCAATTAATCGTACCTACAAGATATATGCAGATCGGGAGATGTTTTAAACGAGTGGGCATTCGTTGGGCCTGTTGGTAGTGAGTGACCAATAAATGTTATTTGAATGTTAGTTGCATGGACCCATGGCATGTGCTACGGAACTGCCGCAGACCGTCAATAACTAAAACAAGAATTTAAATACACTATAAACATATTTATTATTTATCTTATTTAGCTCCGGTATGTAACATTTAAGATTAACGTGAGAATATTTGTCGATGTACTCGAAAATTGTGTATATTATACCATATCTTGATAAAGGTTAGCAGTTTATTAATTTTTACAAGAATTTTTTGATGATTAACAGCAGCTCTTGTATTTAAAACATTGTATTTTGTAACAAATCAAAAACAGCTCACCACATTTATGTTCTCGAAATACTGCGAATACATACAGTACTGTTACATATTATTAGTATTCCGCAACACCTACCCCGTTTTCACAAAATTGTGTTATGAAAAACTCACTTGAAAACATACTATTAAAGCATACCATGTTTCTTAACAGTAGTTTACCCCCCACGTATATTTTTAACTTATTTTCATTCACTTACTATCATTAAAAAATAAAATTCGCAAAATCCAGTTTTATAATTTATCTAAAACTGGAATTGTTTGATTAAACTTTAGGGACGAGAGAAGTTCTGTCTAACTTTAGAACAATTTTTTTCGAATGAGTTTATTCCATATTGTCTTGTAAATATGAGAAGTTTATCACGCTTTATGCATTTTTGTGAAGTGTCTTTCATAAATTTACGGTTTACGTCAGTTTATAATAAACTACAGATTTTTCACAACGAACAAAAAACAAAGTTTAATATCTCATATTCTCCAGATCTCTTCCATCACAAAGAATATAAATTATATGTATATGTCACATTTAAGCATTTCTCACAGTTTACAGATTCAGTTCGTTTCGTCTACATATTCTGCTCGGTGCTAGTAGTATTGATACATTTGGTCGTTGTCAGAAACGACTAAAATTCGAACGACACGACTAGTGAATTATTGGATGATACCAAAATGTAAGAGGCAATTTAAAGGGTCTGCTCCTCCTTGGGCAGTACAGATAAGGTCCTACCAGTAGTAATAGTGGCATTATAAAACGTCGTTGTAATAAATAAAAATGGAAATTGAAAGCAGCAGTTCTGTCTTTCGTTTTATAGTGTCGCATTGCGTGTTCGAGTTAGATAGAAAGGTGCTGCTAATTACTTTCACCAACTTGGCAAACTTTCCAGAAACTATGCTAGATGCTAAATATGGATATATTATGACACACGAAACATTATTTTAAACCTGTACCTAAATTACTACTATTATTTTTACCCTTAGACCAAAGAGAAACCGACAAGATAAATGGCCTACCTAACAGAAAAGTAGCTACCGCATACAAAACATTTATTTTGAAATCTCTCAACATGAATTGCATTTTTTTTAAGGTTTTCGATTCTAAAGACATAACAAATAGTTATAAATCTAACATTTCTCTACTCTACAGCGTGTTTCACCTAAGATTTACGCCATATTTTACTTAGTATTTTCTTTTTTTGTTAAAGTAAACTGACGAAATTCAAAAGATTATTAAGTATTATTAGAATGATTACTACTAAAAATATTACAGCATAAATATGGTAGATATCAGATAAAGTAAAGATGGTATTAAGTGAGTGAAAAGCAGAGAAGCACTGTCGAAATTTTCCAACGTGAAAGCACGGTACTCTAGGGGTCATGAAACGTCGAGAAAACATAAAAATCTAGATACAACGACACTAATTAATTATAATTATTTAAACAAAACTTTGATTAACAAATGGTCCAAGGTTAGTGAAATAGAACTTTCCTCGCCCCTGATGTACAGTAAAATATATCCAGCTGTTTTGAAAAATTATAAAATTTGGTTTTGTGACTTTGATTTTTTTATGATAACCTCTATAAGTTAAAATAAAGGTAAAAAAACATGCGATACGTATGTTTCAAGCGAGTTTGGCCATTAAAAAAATGTGATGACGTCATCAACATTTTAGCGAGAACGAGAATCAATTTGGATAGGTGTAGTGTAATACTAAAAATTACAGTACTGAATTTTTTTTAGTCACCTATATAAGCAATTCTAAAAAATATGAGTACACAGATAAACCACAGGCAGGGACAAATCATATTTTGCACATTTTAGATTTCTTGAGGAGATAAACAGATACATTTTGATTAACGATTTACCATGCTTAACCTTAAAATATTGTCAAGATTTCAGAGTATTCGGATTTGTAGTTTCACAGTTAAATTGTAAAATATTATTATACGGATTCCTAAACCACCTAATTACATGATATTCCTAACAGTATTATTATTTTATTAGTTAAAATGATCTGCCCAAGCTAACGAGTGATAGTAAACAAGTTAGGTTGATGTGCGACGGTGAAAAATAACCATCATATCTAATTTTAAAAGCCGTAGTCGATTGACTGTCATAATTCTTTAGACAGTGAATTCCAGTGATCGAAAACGCTATTGACAATAAAAAACCATCAACAGTTGTTAAAAATTGATTCTTAGCCAACTGAAAAACGCTGTCTTCTGTTATCTGTGTTCAAAGTAAACAAGTGATGAATAGGGGACCGTGGGATGAAGATTGGAAGGCCGTAATTAAGTCACCCCTTTTCTGTCCGTTAGATAAGATTGTCACATTCATTAATTCAAGCCTTTCGGGATAACGTGGCTAAGTTGCTCCGACTCTAGAAGTAGGATGTCCGGTTGAAGAACAGGAGTCCAGGCAGTTAGCAAATTTCAAAATGTCTGCACATAAGTTTCGTACAACTTCAAGACCACCACGGGATTGGTTTTACAAAAAACCTTACTCAGAAGATATATCATAGATTTGGCTCGTTTGCTAACATGAACAACGTGATTTGACCAAGAAAGATCAGATCTAACTAATACTTCCAGATCTCGACAACAATCAGATTTAGTCGATTCAGTGCTATTAATATAGTATTACGAATCCCTAGATTCTTGTTATGATTCCATAATGTTAGCAACTACAGAAGTGAGACTAATGGACCTATAGATACCGTCATTATATTGGTCTCCTTTCTTGAAAATAGGTTCGTTAAGCACATCCGCACAACACTTAAAATGCTTAGTGGTAATAAGATCAGGGCCAGGGGATTTTGACATTTGTACCGATTTCAGTTTTCCGTATATCTACCATTTGGAAAAATCAACCTCTCTAACTACCTTGGATATTACATCCAAGGATTCTCGTGTGTAAACGGTGGCAAAAGAATCGAAATATACATGGTAAGAATTCAACCATTATCATCCGTTATACTGCCAAAATTATCTCTAGTTTGAATAGTCGCAAGAGAACCTGAGAGTTTTGTGTAAACCGCTTATACAACCTCTTTGTGTCTTTAGTTTATGCGAGTCCAGTCTCATGCAATTTTAGCCATCTTGATAACAGTCGAAACATGGTTTGAAAAAGTTATGTTAGCTTTGCAGCTTCAGAGCTTTTGTAATTACTCCAGAGTGCTCGGTGTCTTTTCACTAACATTAAAATTCTATCATTTTTCCAACGTTTTTTTAGGAGAGACATACAAGTTTGTTAACAGATTGTCTGCAAGATATGTACAAACGCTACCGCCTTTTTCACTAACCGATCTTTCGAAACAACGTGTAACCTTTCAAATTGACCACTTGTGGTTTATAAATCCGTCTTGACTTTTTACTCAGGACATCTAGATTTTTGAGAAAAATCAAAATTATGTAACAACATTTTGCAAGTATTTTAACTTTTGGAATTGAAACTGTAAAACCGAATGCTCTGAAAACTTGGAAGCGTTGTAAGGTCATCATAGGTATCGTTAATCAAAATCTATCCATTCATCCTATCCCAAAAAAAAAATTAATGTATGACGCAATCTATTTTATTGAATTAATCAAGAATGGCTCACCCCATCTTCTTAAAAATTTGAGTATACCGTGCTATTATTATTTGATACTACACTGCATCTAATTCAAATTGATGTATGGTATGTGTACAGGTGATAATATCACAAAATTTTGTTCTGCAAAAACTCATATGTTTATTTTAACTTATAGAGGTTATCAGGAGCATTAAATTGTATAAAAATATTTTGCAATATAACTTTGGAACTGCAAAACCGAATATTCTGAAATCTTGCAAACGAAGCATGCTAAACCGTTAATCAAAAGTTGTCTGTTTATGCCCTTCCCCCAAAGTAATTACAATTTTGTCGTTCTTTAATTTTATTAGTATGGTACGCTAGACATCCAGTTTTTTGGGAAGAAACCAAGTGTGCTTAATTAATTAATTAGTCCTTTCCTCTCTGCTGAGGCGACAGAATCAATCAAAATTTAATTGTGTATTATAACACAAACGCATGCTGCCGTTGTTGCTTGTTATCTAAATGTGCTAAAAGTCGAATTTTTTCTAATTATAACAATAAACAGTTGAAGTTAAGCATGTACGGAGAAATCGATGATACATTTTTTTTCGTTGGTAATCAGCATTAAAAAATAATATAATTCATATTATCCCCCACTTGTGCGGTTGTGCCGCCTTGGAATTTGCGTCCCCATGGCGTAAGGGCTGCGTAGGCGTTATTTATTTATGCCACTGCTTGTTACTTTATAGAAGTTATCACAAAACAAACATCATACAATCGGATTTTATATTTTTTTAAAGAAGCGGCATTTGTTGAGCTATATTTCAAAGGCGAGGGAAGTTCTGTTGAAATGAACTTCGATCAATTTTTTAATTGGTGTTTAATTCATTAAAAATATTGTTGTGCATTATAGTAATAAAAAGTAATAATTGCGCGCTTCTACAAGTTTGTCTGTCTTATTAATAACTGATCATGTTTCTTTGCCGCGAAAACACTTTGAAGGTTATTTTTTATGTTATGTTAGTTTACATATTTGTACACAATTTTAGATGAACGCATTATTCCGATAAGATTCCGTGCCAATGATATGAAATAGTTATACATACCTAATTACTTTGCACAAAGTGTACGGATTAAAAGACTGTAAATGTGACAAGGAACCATATTAACGAAATCTGTATTTGGTTATCACGTTATCAGTACTATCAATATTATCA